CTGTATTACATAATAGAAATTGAGAAAATTATTAAAACGTGGAACAATATTCGTTTGATAATTAGTGTCATAGAATTCTTGGAGTTCAGGGATATTGAAATCAACGATAATGACAGTCTTGTTGATGTATTCTAAATTTTCCAATGTTTTTAGAAAATCATCATACTCCACACAAGTAGAATTTGGAGGTATATACACTAGTAGTACTTAGAATGATTGATGGTTATTGTCAGACATTTTCACACATAGGCAATCAATTTTTTGTATTGTACCGGGTGATTCATTAAGGGTAGCGAGGTACCATATCTCAGGAATTAGAAGTCGTACGAGGATTTTAGTTTTTAGGTTAGGTTGGTAGGAATGTTTTAATTAGGCCCCCTAGTGAGTGCAGCTGGAACCAGCATGACACTGGTGTTCCTTCAATTCAATCAACAAACATTACTCTCTCGAACGAGACCAAGTTTGCTGAATTCCGTTCAGTCAAATTAAAGGTATTGGTATTTTAGTCAGGAAAGGTTCAACCAGGGAAGTATTACAGGTCCAATTTTATTTGCAATCTTTATGAATGACATAATATCAATATTAAACAACGATAACAGCCTGATAACCAGCTATGCTGATGATACCAATTTACTAACTTCAAGTTCAAACTACCCAGAACTCTGCGAAAATTCTAAAAGTCTCATTATGAGAGCTGATGAGTGGTTCTCAAAAAATAATCTCTTACTCAACAAAGAAAAAACTCATGTTATCCTTTTCCGGACCTCACAGCAAAGAATTACAACTCCAACTAGTATAAGACTTCTCGAAACTAACATCAATATAGAAAGTGACACAAAATTCTTGGGTGTTTTTATAAATGAAAACTTAAAGTGAAAACTAAACCAAATTGCATACAGCATTCGTATACTTTGTAAATACCCGAATGAAAAGTTCCTAAAAATTATCTATCATGCAAACTTTGAATCCACTGCAAAATTTGGCATAATATTTTGGGGATCGAGCAGTCAAACTAAGGAAATATTCCAGATCCAGAAGAGGGTTATAAGATCATTATACAATATGAAATATGTTGAAACGTGCAGAGGTACCTTCAGATCAAATAAAATAATGACCGTATTTGCTCTATATATTTATGAATGTGTCATACATCTGTATAAAAATAAAATGAATTTCACACAAAGTAATAATAGCAGATACCCCATTCGGAACAGGAATTTCACTTTTCCAACACATAGTTTAACTTCAACAGAAAAGCATCCGAATTATTCAGCAATTAGATTTTTCAATAGATTACCAAATGAAATGAAAGTGATTGATAGTGTGAAAAAATTCAAGAATCATCTGAAGAACTGGCTTACTGAACTAGAACCGTATTCTATAGATGAATATTTGAATGTAAATATCTAAATTCAAACTAATTTATTTATTTTCTATGTTTTGTGACACTGTTTCATTCTTTGTTATATGTTTTATATAAAATGAAAACCTTTTTTTGAAATAAAGTATATTAATAATAAATAATAATAATAATAATAACCTCGTCTACCGCCCTTATTTCACATCGTACGAAAAGAAGTGTAGGAACAAAAAGATGCACTATTTTAACAGCATTAGCGTGATAGCTTCTCTTCCTCAGCTCATGTTGAAAAATTCGCTGGAAAAATCAATTTTTTATACGACCATAGCAATTACGCCCTCCAGCGGTAGATATAGAAACTAAAAAACTATTTCCAGCAATTTCCCTTGGTCGATTTCCTCGATAGAATTTTTTTCTCAACCTCGTACGACTTCTAGTTCCTGAGATATGGTACCTCGCTACCCTTAATGAATCACCCGGTACAGGATAACTCAGCAAGTTCAGAATGGTAATGATTACTGTCCAGTGCAAGAATTATTGCACCACCGCGAGTTCCAGTCGTACGATCTGTTACATAGGCAACATAATTATCGGGAAAAAGTTCAGAATCAAACACTTCATCATGTAGCCAACTTTCGGTGACACCATTTGCGAGGACCCTTTCATAGAATTAGTGGGTTTTAGTATTCAGCCCCCTGCAGTTTTGGTAGAAAATTGAAACAGGTGTCTTATTCTGGTTATGCCTGCTGGATGGACTTTTTTTAATAATAGATGGAAATCCGTTTCGATATTGAATGGCATAACTACCTTCTCCTGATTCATTCAGGTCAACTAATTCCCTGCGTAGATTGAGGTAGTGATCAAGCTGCATAGGTGTCTGGTCTGGTCTAATAAATATTTTGTTGATCGTAGTTTTCTGCTATTTTTAATGATACCAGGAACATCCATTTTATTGGGCAGTATGAGTTTAACTGAGCGAGACTTATTGGCAGAGATACGACCAAGTCTATGTTCCTCAGTGCCATTACAATTGAAACCAGGTACAATATGAGATACTGCTTCACACACAAAATTATTCAGGTTTTCCAAATCTTCTGGAATTCCAAAAATCAGTATATTATTTTCACGCTGTCTCATATCACTCATTTCCTTCAATATATCAATAGTATTTTGGGAATTCCCAGGAGAATCCAACTTTTTTTCGAAATGACTGGAGTTTATCAACCGTAGATTTTATCACTTTTTTATGATCTTCCTTCAATACCAGTATATCGGTGTTCAGTTTATCCATTTTTGCTTCTAGTAGAGCAAACTTTTTTTTTTTCAAGATTTTTTCAATCCCAACCGATACACTATCTACTATACTTTTTATGAACGACTCCTGCTGAAAAGTTGTTTTATTGCCACGTCAGCAGCATTTCTCACTTTATTTAACAGCTCGCGGGTTACTATTGGCATGATGATATTGCAATTATTATGCACTAGAACTCCAGATTTCAAAAGAAATTCACACACAACTGGGTAAACTACACTATTCTTGATTTCCACAACTCATGATGTTATTTAAGATTGTTCAATACATATTTAATAGCGAATCTTTGAAGAACTACTCGAAACATGTGCGACCACAACGACAATCGAATTCGATTGCGTGTGGATCGAGGTGTGGATCCGATGGAATCACTTAGTCAATGTTGAAGCATGATTTAATTTAAATCTGCTCCGATTTCGAATATATAACATCCAAGTACTATTATTTCGTTGACTAATTTTCAAACTGCTTCACAGCTAGTTTTCACATGAATAATATATTCTTTATGTATTTTGACTGAAATATTTTTTCATCATTCATATACAGTAATATACACAATTGAATATGTGCAGTTCATTTCTCAATTTGTCCGTGTTTCTATGTTTCATTAAAAACTAGTCTGGGTGATCTGAGCTTGGATATTGTAATATTCTCAATTTCTATGGCCTTTTTCTGTAACTTCTTGTAATCATTTTATTACTTCCTAGGAAGTCGATTTCACTAGAACTTCTCTTCTTCGAATTCTTGAATTTATGTTATGCCAGCCATGGCTATAACAGGATTGATTTTAGCCTGAATACTTTTTTGATTTTTTCATATGTTTGATTACTTCCACATTTGATGATCAATGCTGGAGTATTGTGTGGAATGGTAATCAGGATTGTTACTTAGTAGTAGTATATAAGCATAAGTTTTGATTTGATTGTCTTTGTTTTCCAAAATTCTGAGCTTTGTTCATGTTTATAACAAATGTGTCAAAGTTGTCACTTGATAAATTCAACTCCTTCAATATATCTTGTTCATCATATATGGGCTATAATTATTTTGTTATATTCCTATCAGAAAATCTACCTGACTATTGAAATGTCTTATTAATTTCTCATCATTGGATTTTATTTCATTGTTTGCTTTCAGTACTTCTTTTAGTAACTTATTTTCTCTCCGAAGTTGAATTAGTTCCTTCATCAGATTTATTTCAGGTATAGTTTGAGTAAGGGTGAAAGGAGATGGTGAAATCAAGTTATTACTGGAGTTGTTTCTTCCATCATCACAATTCATTTGAGTACATTGAAAATCACTGTTGCAATGATCTTCCTGTAGAATATTGAAATATTTTCAGATACATTATAAATATAAAATACTTGAGGCATATAAAGAAATACATTGATAATTCACATTTTCTATCTAATAAAAATTAGTTTTTCTTTCTCGGTATATTCAAAAGAAAATAACTACTTTCCTGGCTATATGATCTTGTCTAGTGACATACTGACTTTTCCATGAGTATGGCTAGCCTTCGCTAATGGAACACATACAATTTACACAACACACAAAATATACACAATTTAAAGATTATTTAGCTGACCAAACTTCACAGTGTGTTCAAATGGGGTTATCCGGCAGTCCTATTTCTGATAAATAGAGCTCATAATTCCAATTAGGGAAAACTTTGAGAAAATAGATAGACTGCTGACAAACAGTGACTTGTGTTTGACAGTGACAGTAACTGGCTGTTGAATTTTCATTTTGTTTATTATTCAAATCAAAGCTGACGGACTTTATGAACTTTCAGTTTTCCTCTTCTATTCATCTTCTCTTCTTGTTCAATATAAGTATTATTATTTCAAATCATAATATGTTCCTTTCTTAAAATCGACTATCTGCAATATCTACAATAGTAATTAATCAGTAAATTATTCGTTTTTGAGAAATTATATAACTATATTGTTATTTGAATTAAAATGATAGTAAAAGATGTAATGTGATATTGGGAAAAAATAAATATTCCCTCCTCGATTTAAAAATTCCCCAAGTCTCTCCTCATTTCTGAGCGATTTTTTAAGTATTCTGAGATGCCCATTTCTGAAAAGATCTCCTATTTCCAATTGGGGAATATTTTGAGAGGAGATGTGGAATGTTGACAAACACATGTGATTTGTGTTTGACAGTAACTGTTGAATTTGTATGTGTATTATTCAATGCAGGTAAAACAAACTTGTAAAATAAGTGACAAATAATGGTCAAGAATGAAGAATTAACATTCTAGGATAGAAAAGCATGTTGTAATTCTGAAAACTAAACAGATAATTGTATTTCGGTTCCACTCACCTGTATGGCCTCCTGTGTTCTCGGACCATGATATTGTCAAAGTACTTTCTCCAGCATTCGCTATGCATCACATGACCACATGTGCTAGTGTGTGGCGCAGGTCCCATATTAGCATGCAAGTAGAGTGGATCGTGCTTCCTTATGTCCATCAGCGCATCGGTGTTCTAGATGCAAAATAAAAATGTAAATAATTAACAACTATATGGACATGGGATATCACCGATAGCACAGATAAGAGTGCCTAGATCTGCCGTTTGATGCTTTTTAAAGAGTTAGGACACACTTGTCATGACATCTAAAATAATAATATGATATACATATAGCGAATTCCATTGGCAGGAACTGGTGGAGTGTTTCTTCACTTAGTGTATATTTACCTCTGTTCAACACATGGGAGTAAGAAGGAAACATACATTGAGTGTAGAAACACTCCACCAGTTCATTCCAATGAAAATCGCTAATAATCTTTTTATAAGAGTTATAATGAGTTTTTCTGTACCTCTTCAGTGAACGAGTACAGATATATTTTTCAGATAAAACAATAGCATATCACTGAAGGCACAATATTTTGTTTGGTGTATTCACCTATATACACCTACGTTCATGCAAAGGTAGGTACCAAAATAATAAAATTAGCCTGCAGAAATAGTTTGCTTCATTCTCGGTTTTATACATTCATGATATTCAACCATTTCGAATAGATTCGATAATTATCAAGGGGATATGATATGGCAACACTGTCTGCAATTGTTTATAATAATAAGCTCTCGGAATAAATAGTAATTAACAGTCGGAATTAAAGTGAATTAATTGTTACTGCTACATGATATGTGCCTAGCTGAACATAATAAACAGTACTGTGAGTAAAAAACTTGAATAGCTCAACCACGACAATATCACACAAGAAAGTATACTTCCACCAAAGAGTGAATATTGACCTTTGGACCGGGGATCGCCAGAATTGTTGGAGTGTATTAGCTGAACCTAGTTGGCAGACTTCGGAATCCAGAAGTATATCTGCTCCTACCAGCACGTTATGGATGAAGACACAAAATCTTTACTAAAATCGATTTACCAACAGAACAATCAAATAATTGAAGACATTAAAACCATCAAGAACGATTTACAGAAAGTTACTAAGACTGTCCATGATATAGAGGTGAAATTAGAACTATTAGAAAGTGAAAATAAGGAACTGAAAGTGGAGGTTGAAACAGCTAAAAGAAAGCTGAAAAATAACAATTTGGTGATTTTTGGCATTGAAGAAAAGGATGATGCAGAAACTACAAATATCGTAAAACAAACCTTGCAAGACAAACTGAATATAAGGCTAGAAGATACGGATATAAATAATACCTATAGAATTGGAAAAAGAAATACTAGTGCGAAAAGGCCTATAATTTTAGAACTAGTTCGAAACATCAAAAAACAAGAAATCCTTAGAAACTGTGGTAAATTGAAGGGGACCGATATCGCAGTTAGTCATGACCTAACAACAAAAGAAAGAGAGGAAAAAAAAGTATTATACAAGTACTATAAGGAAGCGAAAGGAAACAAATGTGAAACTACTTTATTGAAAAATAAACTTATTATCAACGGTGTCTCATACAAGTACGAAGATCTTACAAAAGAAGTCGATAGAACATTGAATAACATCGAAACCTCTGGAAACTCTGCCGACTTGTCATCTAAAAGAAAAAACGTTCTGAGTCCCCAGGAGGGAATGCCGAAAAGATTCACTAGAAGCGTTAGCAGGGAGACGAAAAATATGGACTAACAGGATGTTTAGGTTAGTCTATCACTCACTAAATTACTTCCTCTGTACATTCAACGAAATTAGAATAAAATAATGTTTCCTCATTCACCAATAATTAAATCATTTTGTTTTGTCTAAAGTATATACAAATATATAAAAAAAAAAAAAATCATTTACTATCATTTGTATCATTCTATTTTTGTATATATTAGTCTAAAATGGATCAATTCATACTCGAGTACGAAAACGAACCGATAATCACGAGAGAAATAACAAACTTAGAGTGTTTCAAACAAACTTTCGATAACTGTGATTGTTTCTCAATTTTTCACAATAATATACGGAGTGTTACTAAACATTTTGATGAATTACAACTCTATTTATCAGAAGTCCAGAACGCGTTCAGTCTAATTGCCTTAACGGAAACCTGGAAAGTAAATGATCCTGAGTCACTCAATATTTGTGGTTACAGAACGATCCATAACAGTGAACGAATCAATCAAAATGACGGAATATTGATATATGTCCGAGAAAATTGTTACGAGTGCCATGAACTCATAAAAATTGGCGAGGTAAATGGAGTCATAGTAAACATGATATGCGGAAAAATAAAAATTTGTGCCATTGTTGTATATAGACCTCCTTGTACTAATGTTGAAAATTTTAATTCAAACCTTTATGAACTCTTTGTTGAGAGAAGTTTTGCGAACAACGAATTAACCTTCTTCTTGGGTGATATCAATATCAATATTTTGGAGCATGAAAATGAAGATGTTGATGACTACCTAAATGTTATGTCTCTAAACGGATTCAAATCACTGATTAATAATCCAACCCGAGTTACAGCTTCGTCGAGTTCATGCCTTGATCATATATTCCTGAAAAGTAGTACAGAAACAATTAGTGAATCCATTCACCCAGCCATTGTTAAAACGAACATAACTGATCATTTCTCTACAGTCGTGAAATGTGAATACCTGAAAAACAAACCTAATGAGGATTATGTAACCCTCAATAATTTAGACGAAACAAAATTGCTGAATATGATCAAAATGGAAAGTTGGAACACGGTCTATAGATTAGAGGACGTGAATTCGGCAACTGATGATTTTATGAGAATTCTGAAAGAAATCATACAAAAAGCTACAAACACCAGGAGAATAAGACCTTCAAAGAAAAAGAAACCATGGATCACTAGAGGTCTAATTACATCGATAGACAAAAGGGATAAGTTGCATCAGAATTTTCTGAGAGATCCCTCAAATTTATATAAAAAATCTATATACAACAATTACAAAAATAAACTCACATCGTTATTAAAAAAAACTAAACATGATTACCTCAAAAATAAAATCGAAAAAAATAGGTCTTCGACAAAAAATCTTTGGAATGTCATAAAAGAATTCTGTACTAAATCTAACGTGAGTAGTCCTATTAATAAAATGAAATTAGATAATGGAGTTGAGATAACTGATAAACAGCAAATTGCGAATCACTTCAACCAGTATTATTCTTCGATAGGGGCAAAGATGGCCGATGCGATTCCACAAAATAATAAAAAAGATACAAATAATGCTAGGTTAACAACCACAATATTTCTGAAACCAACTGATCACCTTGAAATTGAATCACTTATTCGAGAGCTGAAGGACAAGAAAGCTACTGGATTTGATGGAATAACTAATGAGATTCTAAAAATAGCTAATTATTATATTTCAAAACCTTTATCTTATATCATTAATTTGATGATTAATAAAGGCCAAGTCCCGAATCATTTCAAAAAGGCCGTTATCAAACCCATTTATAAATCTGGCGGAAAATATCAATTTTGCAACTATAGACCTATCTCTCTAATACCAACGGTAGCTAAAGTATTCGAGAGAGTTATCAAAAAACGTCTAGTAAATTTCATTAGCAAGAACAAAATTTTACACCACCATCAATTTGGATTTCAGGAAGGTAAATCAACGCAGGATGCTATTGCTAAGCTAACATCGATCATATATACAGCAGTTGATAACAAAAAACCATGTTTGGGTGTGTTTGTTGATCTGGCAAAAGCCTTTGATACGGTTTGTCATAAGCTTTTGCTAGATAAACTTGAACGCCAAGGAATACGAGGTGTTGCTTTGAACCTTTTCTCTAGTTATCTCAGTGGCCGGAAACACGTTGTCAAAATTGATAATATTTACAGTGATGAGGAATCTGTAACTTTCGGAGTCCCACAAGGCACCGTTCTTGGTCCAATTCTATTTTTGATTTACTTGAATGATCTACTTAAACTAAGTACTGCAGGCATTATACTATCTTTCGCTGATGATACTGCAATTGTCTATGTAGGCGACTCTTGGGCGGAAATTGAACAAACTGCTACAGATGACATTCGAAAGATTTTCGATTGGTTTGATGCGAATAAATTGACAGTTAATGCCACAAAAACAAAAATTATACCATTCACCTCATATAAACCATCTCTACCGGATTATAGAAGCATCATTGTTGGAAACCATACCCTTGAAATTGTTCAAACGGTAAAATACCTTGGCATCCATATGGACTCATTTCTGAGGTGGGATATTCAGGCCCGTAACATAGTTAATAAGCTGAGGGGTCTGATTTATAGATTCAAACAGCTAGTTGAATTTTTAACGTTCACTGAACTGAAAATATTATATTATGCCTTCGTTGATTCCATTTTACAATATGGTATAATTGGTTGGGGAGGAATTAGAAATAATTATTTACATTCAATCAATACTATTCAAAAGTGGATTCTGAAAATTATACTAAAAAAAACTCGCAAATATTCTTCAGACCAACTATTCATGGATGCGAAGGTTATGGACGTTCGACAACTATTTTGTTTCAAATCAATTTCTTTTCTATACTCTAACAGTCAATATAGAAACAATTTACTACATAACTATAGCACGAGACAGAATGCTGCAGCAACTTTATATATCCCTGCTACTCATAAAGCAATCGGTCAACGGAGCTTTTGCTTTATAGGATCTAAACTTTATAATAAATTACCAAATGACTTGAAAAATGAGATATCCAACAGACTTTTTCGAAACAAGCTCAAAAAGTGGATTTACTTCAAGGATAGAAAGTACTTTTCGTATGCTATTGATCCGATTTAGATTTAGAAAGAAGGCATACTCGAAATCTCATAAAAAATGCTTATTTTTCAGTTCTTTTCTTGAGTATTCATTGTTTTTACCCATACATATATGTATTATAAATTCAAAATTATGTGTGTATTCGCATATAGTATATAGGAAAAAAAAAAAAAAAAAAAAAAAAAAAAACTCTTTTCAAGTATTGAAGTCTACCTAGTTTTGTAGGATACTTTCACTTTGGTTTGTATAACTCTACAGGTAACTTCATTTGGCTAGAATAACATAA